GACAATATCTAGATCACTTGATATGAAAAAATTCAAGTTGATTGATATGGATAAGTTGTTAAGATTATCTATATCCAGTTGTGGTGAAATTTGATTGGGAAGTGAGACAATTTGTAATTAGTTGAAGTTTATGCATGGAGTAAGTGATTCTGATTGGATTGGTAATGTAGAAATCTGGGTTAATGTAAAATCTATAGGATTAAGAATTTAAATAGAAGCAGATTGGTTTGCTGTACTTAGTTGGAAGCTTGTTTTTAAATTATATAGTTTATTTTTTCTACCAACTTTCCATTTAATATTAATCATATTCCAAGAAACATGTTTGAAATAATCCCAGTCTTTATTGGAAACACTGTTCAAGACTTCTTCTCTAAAATATTGATTATTTAGAAAGGTTTTTTAAAAGGAATCCTGGAAGCTTAGAAACTCATACAAGTAGATAGCAAGTTTAACTTTTAGAGTAATGGCCTAAACCTAAAGGCTATCTTGATTTTTGATTGAAAAGTTGATTTGGATTATAGAAAGGTTTGAAGATTTGGGTAAGTCAAGTTCTGCATAGGAATAAACTATTTAGATGGATAGTTTAATAGTAGTGGAGTAATGATAAAGTTGGAGGATTCTGTGATAACTATGTTATTATTCTTATCCATATATATTAATGCAAAGAGTTGTTTTTTTCTTTTTATAAGAATAATATTTAATAGAGTAGGGTTGTTTGATATATAATGAGGTTTGGATGTTGAAAGAACTTGAGATAAATTGGTTAAAGTAATGGCTAGGAATTGGGAAAATTGATTTATTGATATTCTGTGAAGTATAAAAAGAATAAGCAATAAATATGATAATGTTTTCCTAATATATTATGCTGCTAATAAATTGTGGATATGTTTATCAGTATATTGTATTGATATATTTATATTGATGTGTTTATGTTTTTTGACATGTTAATAGTAATAATGAGTTATTGACATGTCTATAATGATGTTATATTGTTGACGTATTTGGGTAGTAATGGTTTGTTAACATGTTTGTGCTGTTGATGAAATATTGACATGTTTGTTATTGAAAAAGTATTAAGGTGTTTATATTGCCAACACATTAAAGTAATAGCAATATTGATTTGTTTATATTGTTGACATGATTATATTATGGACATGTTAACATGTTATTGTTATTAACTTGCTTATATTATTGACATGTTTATATTTTGATTGGAGGTATAGATCACTTAATAAGGATAAGCTGATTTTGGTTTTTTCAGATTAGGAAAAATTTTTCTATATAACTTGAGTAATTGATATGGTTGAGTTTGTTATTTGTTTATTCTTTAAATCCTTTTAATTTGAATTCCTCTAGAAAAAGTTTGGTATCTTCTTGTTTTTTGTCTGGTAGTGAAGTTGCTTGATTTATCAGATGGAATCTGGTTAGCAAAAATCTTTCTGGTGTCTAGGGAGATGCAGAACCTTATATATGACTGGCTAGAAGCTAGAAGAGTTGATGCTGACTTTCTTTTTAAGCTTACTGTAAATTGTATGCTTTCTTTTTTTTTTCTTGTAATAAATTTTATCCTGTTTAAAAGGACAAGCAAGCAAAGAAGTGTTAATAACAAAAGAAATTTAACAAATGCAATATCTCTGTTAATAGTTTTATCTGTGTTTGTATGATTCTTTGGGTTTCCTTAAAGTATAGATAATATTTATTTATGTGTGTTCTTAAAATTATCAAAAAAAAACAATTTTTAAGAATCTAGAGTTTTTGCAAAAAGAGTTTTTTTTTTTTTTAATTATACTTTAATATATATCTCTCTTTTTAAAGAACAGCAATGTTATAGGTGGCAAGTTGATAAATAATTTTTTTTGCAACAAAAGCAACTATATTTTTTAGTAAAAAGACTTAGCAATAATATCTAAGAGATCAAGACTAAAATAAAAAAAAGAAATAAACAGGATGAGCTTAATCTACAGGTTATGGATATAAGTATTTTAATTAATAAAATTTATAGCAAAATTTATCTAATTTACATTTTTAAATAATTTGGGAAATATGTTTAAATGTTATAAAACAATTGTTTTTGAGATATATTTATTTAAATCAAATTACTTTGAAAAATGCCTTGCATGAATATTTCGAGACAAACTTCTCCAAATATATGTCCAATTTAAGCTCTAATTAGTTTACAAATTTATTTTATGGTAAATGGTGTAGCATGATAAGTATAAATAAAATAATTCAATTGTCTTTAATTATTTTTAAACTAATTCAAACTTAATTAAACAAAAGCTTTTGGCAAAAATAAAAAATAGCTGTGGTGCAATATTACAAGATATTAGAATAGCAATGTGGCAAGTCTTTAGTTCAGGATGATTACTATTTTTAAAAAGTAACACTTTATCAGCTGCTATTATAATGTGGAAAAAGTTTGTAGAAATGTCCAAATTTTATTGTTTACTTTTTTAATTAAATGGTGATAGAATATATTAAATAACTTAGATTACAAGATCAGCTTTTTTTAAAACATCTGTTTTTACTTTTAGCAATAAATATTGTGCATTTACTTTTGCTATATGTGATATTTTTTTGAATCCTCGATCCAAGAATATAATTTGTTTTGAAAAGTAATAAAATATTATATAGAATATTTTCTTGTAAGTAATCAATTAAAATATGATAATTTTTTTTATAATAATCTAATATATTTATTAAATAGAAAGATTTTAATAATAGTAGTCCCTTTCTAAATTCTGCTAAAGAAATTTTAAATAATGAGTTAGAAAGTGAATTAAATCAGAAGCAATTACAAAAAACATTAGAACAAGAATAAGAAGAAACTGAATCAAATAGAATGTAGCAAGACAATTCAATGATACTTTTATGAGAAAAACAAGATATATTATTTGATGTTGATGTTGATAATAGAAATTAAATTAGAAATTAATATAATAATTTATAAAAATGCAAAATCAAATTAATTTGTTTTAATAAAAACAAATTGTTTAGTTTTAATTATTACATATAATATAAGAATTATGATGTGTATTAAAAATATAAATAATTCATTATTAATCAAAATGTTAATTTTAAAACAAATTAATAAATCTTAATATAAATCAATTTTTTAAATTGTAAATCAAATTCAATAAACTCTGATACATAACAATTTTTATTTTAATCGATAATAATCAGCAGGAGGAATTATTATTAATATATAGTATAGTATATTCTGGTTGTTATTAATCAATACATATCACCTTATTTATTTTACTGATGATACTATTTTAAATTTTTTTAAATTTTTTATTCAAAAAACTAAAATCAGTTTATCTCTTCAGATGATTATTATTTTTCAATCATTTAATTAGATTTTGTCAAAACACAAAAATAAAAATTGAATTAGCTTAAATTAATTTTTAATACAAAAATAACAATAACAATAACAATAATATTAAACAATATCAAATATACTATAATTTCTTTGTTGTTAAAACATATACCAACAATTAAAAAACTTAATAAATTCTGGTTTTTTTACAGTTAGACAAAAGGCTTTTTTATAAATATAATCTTTATTATTATAGATTTTATTGTTTATTTGATTTAATATCAGCTTTAGTTATTTTATTATTGTATATATTTTCTTTTATTATCTATTCAAACACATTTAATATATAATATTGTTTTGAATTTTTTTTTTAATATTAGCTAGATATGTATATGTAAGCAAACTAGCATTTAATTTGTTATAATTTGTATATAAGAAATATTGTTTTTTTCATGATATATATTTTGTTATATACAAATCAAATAAAAAATAATATTTACTTACAGAAAAAATTAAAAAAAAAAACAAATTTTTGATAAAATTAAAAAAAATTTTTTAACTATAAAAAATTTATTAAATATTTTTTATGATATATAAATTAATTTTAAAAAATTAATTTTATTATAAAATTTTTCATTTAATTTTACTTTATAAAAAATTTTTTAATTAATAATAAAATTATAAAACAATTGATTTTTGATTTTCTTTGCTTTTATTTAAAATATACTTTTAACTTTAAATCAAAATTTAATTATATTACTATAATACATTTAAAAAATTTTATTAAGTAATCTTATTCTTTAGATTTTTAAATATATACTGTATATTTAAATTTTTATTATATTTTATTAATTGTTGATTTATAAATAAAATTAAAAACTAAAATTAGTCCAATGACTTTTGTACCAGGCTGTATATGGCGATATTATTCTTATAAGTCAAAAACTTTATAATAAGTTATTTTAATTCGTAATTTTAAAAAAGTACAAAACACAATATATATAAGTAGCTACTATTATATATTAAGATTTCATTAGTAAATGTGACGCAAGTGCGCTACGCGATATTACATTACATCATGTTTTCGGGGAAATTTTGAATAGGAATCTCTAAAATAGAGAAGAATAACGAAGGGAATGTATAAATTTGTAGTCTTGATAATTTCGATGACGATGCATTCATGATACTGTATCATACCAATTTACGTGATATTACAACACTTTATTGAGAGTCAATGGTATATACTGTAATATTAATACAGATTTAATTTGAATAAAAACGCGACGAAATTATAATAAAAGGATGTGAAAGATCGTGATAAGTGATCAATAAAATACAGTATAATATTATGTAATGGGTGGGAATTACGAAAAGATCTTAGGTAATCAACTTCGCCATACTTATAGTTACAAAGTCGTCCCAACTTGTGTAAAGAAAAAGTGTATAAAAGAAGTAAAACTAACAAGTTAATTAAAACAGTGAATTATTTTTACTCGGACAAATCGAATGCGCCTTAAAAGACCCCCAAAGCACTTATCGACGGTTACGCCCACTTTAGCGACAGACTCGCTAATCAACCGTCACACTAGATAATAAGTAAGTATTATGAAAAAATATAAGTTTTATTCTAAAATTTAATCGATATACAGTACAATAAATTGACTATAATTATAAAGCTTCATTAATCACCATAAGTTTTATTTAGTGGAAGTATAGTCCAGTTTTCATTATCTTTTATGACATCTGCTGTGTTAACGAAACCTTCACAATGAGAACGCAAGTAATTTCCGTGAAAAGTTCTAAAAGCTACCTACGCATAATCAAATGGTTTTAATATAAAAATATATTTATAATTCTAAATGTTATCGTTAACGAACCTTGAGATTTGCAAAATAAGAGGGGTTCATTTTTTAACACAATGGCAGGTGGAATTGCTGAAAAATTTCACGTACAAAATACTGGTCTACTCTCGTTAAAATGATTTTTTTTTCGGTTATTTTATAGT